ACCAATGCTGTGCGCCATGGGCGGCCAAAGGAGAATGTACTCAAAACCAAGCTTACATGGGCGAATGGTGCAAAGCCAGTTGCGGCATTTGCAAAGCACAGTACAGACTTGTTGATGGTGAGTTAGGCTTTGTCACATCGGAATCTATTTAGGTTCGTAGAGACCAAAAGTAAGATTGATTGTCTTATAGCAGATCTGAGCAGATCTAACCTCTTACTGCTTGCTGATCACCTTCAAAAGGCGGGGTTATAGCGATGGGTGGGGTCGTACAAGTTTGTCAACTATTTCGTAATTAAGTGGCTTTCGGTGAATAGAAAAAGGATTGTACAGATTATGGAAAGCTAACCATCCTTGCTGCAATTGCGGGTCACTGATCGAAGGATGAGCGTGGGCGGGACTCGTTAGGGCGAAGGGGATTGTCATGGTATTTGCTTTCTGACTTTGAGAGTGGCCGATGGCTTAGCCTATTCCGAAGGTTCTCAACAGTCCCACTGAGTAAAAAGGCTATGTATACACCTATATATACTTATTTTATTTTTCATTTTTTATTTTTATTTCATTTTGTTCCTATTTTTTGTTTTATTTGCATTATTTCACTTTCTTGCCAACATTTACCCTATTAAGACTGAATGCGTTTCTCAATTGAGATTTGGTCGTCTTTTTGTCTGCATTTTCCATAGAATCCCCGCAGAGCTTCTTTCTGTTTCAGATTGCTCTGATCGTCACAGGAACTGCAAATCATGGGCGGCCATGGGCGAATGCCAGAAAAATGTTTTATGGATGACGGAGAATTGCAGAATGTCATGCGGAAAATGTGGACAATCTAGGGCTCAAGCGTGTGGTGGTGGTGCAGCAGGTGAGCATCTTGGCTTGGCGTGATTGTCCTCCTGTTCAGGCCTTTTTTCCAGACACACGGAAAGCTAGATAGTTGCTGTCGGTAACGTGTTTCCGGCTTCTGTTATACCACTCTGCCATTCTGTTCGGTAATATCATGAGTGTCGTAAGACTCGTTAGACTAAACAGCATTTTCTCTTTAAAGCTTCTGATATCAATGAAGGAACGAAATACCATTTCACCTACGAAGATAGGTTGAAGGAAAAGTGAACCCATAGAAATGTCAAGGGATAGGCAGGGAAATGCATTCAATATCAGGCAGTTTTTCTGGGATGCATGCATTCGACTCCTTTTACAGCATCGTAAAGGGCTCTAAATGTACCATTAGGGGGCTATCAAAAAGCCACTATGGTTCGTCCATTCAGGTGGGTTTGTTAAATCACGCTCTGCTTCATCAAATCGAATGATTCAACAATAGAATTGAAGAGGCATTCCATCTTATAGAAATATACATTATGTGGCCACTAATTGGGAAGGCATCAGAAAAATTGAATACTGGTGCACTGTCGAGCTTATAGCCGGTCTTCGAAAGATCGTGTAACCATAAGGACCGTTTACTGAAAACGCGTTCTAAAGACTTTGCATAGGCTGAGATGCCTCCTAGAAAACTATCCAACATTGAATCGATTCACGAAATTGCGTAAGAGCTTCAGGCTGAAGCTCTTACGGTAGGCCTCCTTGAGCCTTGACGACGATGACAGATGACGTCATATTCTGAAGACGGTGAGGGCAGTGAAGGAGAGCCTGCGTACACTTATAGAGGGAACATTTAGGGAATATACTCTGCTGAGGACTTCAGCGATGGTAATTGGGCCCTACGAAGAAAAAAGGGCTGAAGAGCGCTATGAGAAGTGTATTTTTCCCCCTCCCCCCCTGCATATACTGCGCTTGCCGTGCATTGGGCCAGCCAGCCGAGACGCACTCAAAATAATAAAATAGGTGCAGGGAAGTGGGCAAAGGAAAGTCACTTTATCCATGGCGTGCATCACCAACTTCCCATCGCACAGAGTCCCTCCGTCGATGCAACTTTTGCTGCAAAGTTTCCCATTAGATATCATCCCACAAGCAGTAACAGACCCTCCTTCTAATCTGCTCCACCAGCTTCAGGATATAACGTCGTTCTGACATCACCGTCCAGCTCAAGTAGGCTTACCGTAATCGCTCCAGCCTGGAGCTGCTTTTTCATTTTTCTATCGATTCTAGAAACAGTACTTATGCAGGACCCCTTCCGACAAGCATTTTAGATGATGACGTAAAATCCATGATTTATCGAGGGACTTGTTGAGCTGGAACCATGCACCGTTGTCCCCGTGGCGAATTCTTTTGCTGTTGTCGGTGTAGAAGTCTGTTGTGAAGTTTTTGATATGAAAAAATGTGCACTAATATTCAGTTGGGGGCATTCGGTGTGAACTGAGGGAAGCCTAATTTATTCCTAGTTGAATAAGGGCCTTTAGGGTTGGATTTTTTCACCCTCTCACCCCATTAGTTTCTGAATTGAGGCGAATCGGGGTGATTACGGAATCATAGAGAAATGAAGGAGTGGCTGATCTGAGAGCAATCAGCTTTCCGATTAGATATTTAGGAGATACGTGTTGCTGTAGCGCTACGTTCTACTGCGACTGTTAGAATCTTATTTCAGTAAATTTCAAACGGCGCAGGTGTTGTCGCGGCAAGTGCTGCCTCTTAAAGCTTGTACTGATTCCTTCAAATCTGATTTGGATCAAACCATCATTCTATCCTTCTTGTGACGGTTGTACTCTACCCGAATCATCTAGTGGTTTAAAAACCCTGAATCATCACAGTTGATCAGGTGTAATAACTTCGTATAGCATACATTATACGAAGTTATACGACTTAATGGACGTTGAAGTTGTGGCGCATCTTCAAGGGGTTGATCAGTGCCGAAAGCTTTTCTTCGATCCTTTTATTGTTCTATGTATTACAAAAGCTTCAAGTGTCAATACTACTCTGAACGTCTCTGTCCAATGAGTTTCACTGTTTCAGCCCAAATCCAAGTCAGACCGAAGGGTAATTTTAGTTGCCACAACCACGATCGTTCCACAACAACCGACATGCGAAGCTTCGGAAGGCTGCTACAACGAGAACGTCTGCTGTGCGTACTGGAGTCTGCTCGGAGAATGTCGAAAAACGCCATTCTGGATGGCTTGCAACTGCCAAGTCTCGTGTGGTCATTGTATTCCTCTGGATTATGGTTATGGATGTGAGTTGCTTCTTTGATTTTGTTCAGTTAACACTTGCGTATTATGCTGAAATAGGAAAGTAGGATGGGTAATGAGGAATATTTATACAAGAAATGAAAGAATTGGTGAGCTCAGCAGGGCGCCATTCTACGGAACAGGGTAGAGCCGGAGATTTTACATACATAAATGTGAATGCTTGCGCCACCTCTCAACATAGGGACACAAAGTCTCAGGCCATACGCCATTGCCCTCGAATTTCCACAACCGATCTTACAGGAGCTGCACTATCAACGACCGTACGCTATCCTTCTCGAAGAGGGCACGCACTCCTCTCTTGGTGTTATCTCAAGGGTGCGGGTCGTAGGACACGCCATTCATCTGCGAATCTCTAGTGTTTGATATGGGTTGCCGTGATTTACATGACGGTTCTGATGGTGGCGGTCAAAATGCAAAAAAGGTAAGATTTGGGGAGGGGCTATTACCCTATCTCAGCATCTTTACTCTCTAAAGGCAATTCTGTGGTGGGTGGGAAGGATCGCATCAAGAAGTGGGCAGGGGTAAGCATACCGCCTCCACGCTGAATGTGACGATCGTTCAGAAGAATCATAAGGCTTGTGCTTTTCTGATGCTGTTTTTGCTATCGGATGCTAAAATCCAGTTTGGCGTCCTTACTATCTTATCCTTAGGGTAATGCCTGAGAGCACTGCTTTGGCTCTAAAGTGGTGGTAAGTAGTATGTGACAAGCTGTATGAAGTACAAAACGATAGGTACCTGCACTCCGCGTCTCCTCGCCTATTCCTGTTATTTCTTGATACGGTCGTCTCCCTGAACCTTTCCACCCGCCAGGCCGAGGCGGACATGTCTCCATCCGCAGACTACGACCCGTTTCCCTTGGAGTGTAGGCTAAACTGTGGAAGCACCTCAGGGTTACTTCTACAGCACACAGATGTTTATCAGCAGCATGCTTAGTATGAGTCGATTACGCATCACGTGCGCCTCTCATTCTCATCTTGAGCATTGGAGAACGCAATGGAGTGCCCCCTCAAACTGGGTTTTCACCACATATTTCGTAATAATGCGAAATTTAGTAGTAATGAATGAGCATAACCAGTGGTAAGTCCGAATCCGCATTTGCGATTGGCTCTACCGTGGAAATACCCGTATTTCGATTATGGTGTCCTGCTAGTTGCTGATCCCAATGAAAAAGTAACATTTCAGCTTGCCTCGATTATCACCGTGATTGCTCTGGTTGGGCTCGACGGGGCGAATGTGAAAAGAACCCATGGATGTCGGAGAATTGTCGTGCATCGTGCAGAACATGTTACTCCCAATGGGATCTCAGAACCATGTGTCGCGGTGCTGTTGGTAAGCTTGAATGACTTCATAGGGGGTTGTGCCATCAACAATAGGGACGAATTTAGGTTCTGTGGCCCCAGTTGCAACGAATCGTCCACGTCAACCAGTGGTCACCCGGCCTCCACCTGCTTGGCAACACCGAGGCGGCTTCGGTCGTGGCGGAATGGACTACGAGGATTGGGGCGGTCTGATGGGCTGGGGAAATGGAGCTGGAGGCGGAATCGCAAACGGATGGGGTGGCCCACCACCTATGTGGCAACAGCCGTTTTCATGGTTCCGACGGGCTCGAGCTAAGAGGGACTGATATGGATGCTTATGATGTTGTATCTTACACGGTTAGCCGTAAAAGGGTGTCTAGATGTTGCGGATGCTTTTTTGTGCTTTTTTTTAAATTATTGCCGATTCAAAGCCTTATAATTGTGTTTCAAAGACCGCACAGCGTTCTCGCCTTGTTACCTTTAATTGAATGTGATCATTTTACCCAGTAAACAAATGTGTCATTAGGTTTTAACTATGTAATTTTCCCTCTTGTTCAAAATTATGAAAGCAACTGCGGGCTGGTTAACCCAATTTAACTCATTTTTCTTCCTGAAAATTGTGAAATTATTGTGAAGAACTGATACAAATTATTCTCGAGCAAAGTATTTCTCATTATTTTTTGCAACATTTTGCCATGTGTGGCGATCTGGCAATGTTTTGCGGTAAAGCGATTTTGGTCTCTGAGTAATAATCAGTTTGGTTATGGAACTTATTTTTGTATTTCTTCAACTGAATCATGCACCTTGCCAAGTAAGTGGCGGTCAAAAAACGGTATGTTCGCTCACCACGCTGGTCATGAGTGATGTTCCCTGCCTAACGGTAAGCGGGGTCAACCGTCACGTTCGCACATTTCCGGGATTTTTGCGACCCCCCCCCTCTCTAGGGGGTCCAGTTGCGACCTCCCTGTTGTTGTTGTTAAGAGTGCTTCAAGTGTGAAAGTGCTGTGAATGTTCTATTTCACTTCACATTTGTTTCACTTCACATTTATTTTCGCCATTTTCTTCGCAAAGTCGAGCAAGGCCACTTTCATTACGCTTCGCTTCAGAGGAAAGGTCCT